CGGTAATCGATCGTTCGAATAAACTATAAACACTGCTCGATATTTGTCTATCGCCATGAATATTTCAAATTGAGGGAAGGGAGGTTATCGACATGGCGTGAAAATTCGAAATAGTTTCTATAAATTTTGATTAAAATACTTTCGCGATGATAAAATTTCATCGTTCGATTAACTCGAAACTTATTCGATTCCCATCGAAAAAGTCAATTTATTTCTATTATATAAATTTTTAAAAATGATTAAAAACTATAAATCCCAATCTGTCTTTAAATAAATAATAAAATTCCATTATCTGATTAATTTTAAATTTATTAATTTAATAAAAGATACCTAATCTTATCCCTATCAAATTCTTTCGATATCGAATTTTAAAATTTTCACTTGAAAATAATTAAAAGTTTCAACGAATAGTTCGCCATTCTAAGAATCATTAACAGATCCACTTTTGAAATAAATAATAAAATTCCTAAATTTCCTTCGTATTTAACAATTTTCATTAAAAAAAAGAAATACTTAATTGAAGGAAATCTATCCTTGATTCAAAACCATCCCAAGAATTATTAATCTTCGATCTTTTCTCTTTTCCCAACAACTTGAATTTCACTCAGATCCATTACAATTTCAACAAGTAATAACAATAACAATAATAATAATAATAATAATTAAAAATAGTAGGAATTAGCTTCGACAGATACATAATTTCGAAGCAAACATATCGAAGAATATCTCCACGTGGATCCCATCGATATCCTTCTCTTATCCCAGCGGCGAAACGGCGAAACACGGGCAAAGTTGGAGTGGTCAACTGAGCGTGTTCTTCCGGTTTACATGCGGCCAAGACAGGCGACAGACCCACAATCCACCTCAGTGACGATCCTCTCCTCGGTCATGAATAATCTTCTGCAATGGCAACTGTTCGAGACGGCCGATGGCCGACGCGTTCAGAGACTCTGAAACTTTGTTTTCGCGAGCCGGGGACCAAATTTCGAAGCCGAAATCATTGTGTTCCGCCGCGCGTGCAATGTCGTCTGATAAGTCTAATGTAAATAATATAATAAAATAATGTGATTGACGAACGATGTAGAGGAAACGATAATTCTCTTTTGCGGATAACGGAGTTGGAAAGTGTGATGTTTCGTGTGAAGGAGAAAGAAACACGACGTTCTTAATATTTGATGTACCTTGTGATCGATGGAATGAATTATTAACGATTTTCACGTGTCCTGTGGGTTAGAGAGGATTTGTGTTGGATTAGGTGAAGGAAGAAGTAGATTATTAAAATGTATATGTTTAAAATAAGAGAGAGAAAAGAGGAGAAATATTAGAACAATTTTAGAATTATATATATTCTTTTTCCAAAAGAATTAGACAGTTTTCAGTGTATTTAATGATTAATAGAATGAATTATTAATTATTTTCATATGAAGAGAATTTGTGTTGGATTAGGAGAAGGAGAAAGTAGATTGTTAAAATGTATATTTGAAAGAAGAGGAGAAAGGAAAATATTAGAACAATTCTTAAACATATTCTTTTTGCAAACAAATTACGACGATTTCGGAATGTTAGAATCTCCTAACCCACTTTAATTAACATTTTAATCTCGAACAAGTTAAGATATTTAATTAGAATTGGCTAATTATCCATTGGTCATCCAGCGCAACGATCCATTCCTCTCTTCCGAAGACCAAGATGGTGGCCGAGGACGATGATGTTGCGACAGAGCGAGCACCGTTATTTTCCTTTCCAACGCGTCCTTTATCCTTGCGTTGTAATTTCTCAAAAGCACGTGCCTCGCGCGAAACAATTCGAATTAATTTGACTACTAATGGGAACAATAACGCGTACCCGAAAGAGGAGATAACCGATAATTACAGGGTAGTAGAGATTCCCTTAATCACTTTCTTGCCTCTTGCGAACTCTCTAATTTGTCGCAACCAGTTCGTTAGAGACGTCCTTATCTTCGTTCCCCGGATTATTTACGGGGTGCCGCGTAATAAAGGCGTACCAAGAGAGTGTAAAAGACCGGTGGAGTCTTCGAGAATCGGTCTAATGTGAAAATGAACGTGTCTGGAAGGCGAGAGAAAATGAATTGTCGAAGGGGAAGATTAATGGGTGATAAGGTTCTGTGGAGTAGCGATTAAAAGCTTCGAATTTACTTTAATTTGTTCTAGAAAGAAATCATAAACTTGAAAGTTAGGTTAGAATTTCTTAACCTCAAAAATTCTTGAAAGTGAAAAATCTATTGACGCAAGGGAGTTTTTATTATTAATATTTGTAATTTTTCCTCGTTGTATCAAAATCTTGTCAAATTTTTGTCCGAAATTAAATAGAAAAATATATTGTCGAAGGAAGAGATTAATGGATGACTTTATAACAACGATCGAAAGTCTTGAATTTATTAATTTGTTCTAGGGAATTCACGAACTTGATTAAAAAGTTAGGTTAGAATTTCTTAACCTCAAAAATTCTTCTTGTAAAAAAATTCTATCGCAAGATATTACTTATTAATAATTTGCAGCGTTGATTTTTTATTAATTTTCCCAAATTTTACCAAACTTTCCATTTTTTTTTTCTTCTAAAATTATCATTCGTATATTTAAATAAACCAAATTTTCTTTCGCCGTTCCCAATATCTAATAATTTCGCTGAAAAATTCAAGTATCAAATTCGAGAGCAGGATCGATGTTAACACGAATAGAATTTTGCCAATTTCTCCTCGCGAAACGACTTTTCGAAACGAAATTGATAGACGATACGTGATGGCCGCCTCTTCTACCCATGAGAGTAATTCCATATCCGTTGGAAACCGCTGTAAAAAGATCGATCTCTATTAATAAAATTTGTTACAAATCCCACGTATCTCGTGTATCGAGCTAAATCATCCAAGTTTTTCGCCATCATGCATCGAAAGCCACTTTATAAAGCAAGTTTTTCCTGGCTCTGCAGTTGGTAGGAAAAGTTCCCTTTCTCGTTAACACGTGTTCAAAGAGAACGTGAGACGCGTGAAACTTCTCTTTCCTTCAACTTCTTTTCTCGGCTTTTTTTGTCGTCTTTTTCTCTCTCGCCTCGTTCTCTTTTTCCCTTCTTTCTTTCTTTCTTTCTTTCTTTGGATCGCCGATGTGCGATGCGCAATACACGAAACACATCCGTTACGTGGAAACGACGTTTTGCTTCACCTTTTCCTCGTATGCCATTTTTTCAATTTCATGTTCATCGTTTATCGATTTAACGATTTGCGTGCACGATTCTTTTTAAAAAGAAGGCATATGTTGAAAAATGGTATGGAAATAGAAAATATTGTAGTAATAATTGTGAATCAATTTGTATAAATTGTGTAATTGAACTATCTTTGAGAAGGAAATAGATTTTGAAAATAATTTTTTTTAATAATAATAGTGATTAATTTATCGTATACGGGGTGTGTTGACAAATGTATGAAATGGATGAAAAAATATTTCAATAGAAATATTTGTATATGGACAACCAAACATTTGAATATAAGGTTCATCAAGAATATTTTTACGTATAAATTTTTAACGATTTAAAATTTAAGTTCATGATTGATCGTGCAATTATAAAATAATTATTACGCCATTGAACTTTTTCACAATCATTTCTCAATTTTCTTTACAACCAATATATATATATATATATAAAATATATATATATATATAAAA